CCTCTGGATGTTATCAATTAGATCCCCAATGTTATAAAAAATCTCAATGGAGTTTTCTTTCTCTAATATCCATCAATATTTTATCAAATTTTCTTCAAGTTGATACTGTTTTAGTGTATAAATAAGCAAATTAGACCCGTAATATTAATTTTACTATCAAGCCAATAACTTTGTGAATTTTTAACTTGATGGAATCAATGTTTTAATGAGATCTAATAATTAACATTAGATTTTAGTTATTCATTTTTATTTCTCTTAAATATATCACTCCAACTAGTTGTTTTGCTATCTGTATTCTACTTATTTTGTTTAATCCACTTGAAAAACAGGAATCAAATCATTATTGCTGCAAAAATCATGAAGTTATCGGGTGGTAATAGAAAATGGGCCGAACAAATTAAATCAAACTGAACCTAATTATTCAGGCTATTGTAGACTATTACCACATCTAAATTTTGGATGTAATACCATAGTTGCCAAAAAACAATATGGGTAAAATATTACAGTTTATACATACATGTCATGATTTTAAAATATAACATATAAAAAAATTATGATTATAAAAATTAACATATATAAATATTATATTATATTTACAAAACATGACTTTTTTACATGTCATGTTTTAAAAAAAATAATAATTATCAAAACACTAACAATAACCCCTGCATTTAATACTTTTATTAAAAAAATTTGCTTATTGTATTTATTTCTATAAGCGTGTTTCAAAATGTATTTGTAATTATTTTTTAAAGTAGTTTTTACTCAAAGTTGTATTAAAATAATATTTTTTATTTTAAAAAATTATTGTTGACATCAGTGCATCAAAATGATTTAAAAATACTAAAAAAATATTAATTTAAAGTAAAAAAAATAAAAAAATTAAATTTTTAAAAAATAAAAACAAATAAGACATATATATTTCCACCAAGAAGAATAGTTGGGCTATTTAAAAAAAGTGATAATCATCAAAACACTAACAACCCCTACATTTAATCCCTTTATTAAAAGGAATTGCTTATTGTCTTTGTCTTTATATATTTCCAAGTGAGAGTAGTTAGGCTATGTTGTTAGGATAATAAAGTAATTTATTCTAACATTATGATTATGCGTTTCTTATCTCAATTATCTAAACATAAAACTTTTTTATCATATTTATTTTTAGCTTAAAACTTTCTTCTCAACAAAATATTTAAACACATGTGAAGATTTAATCCAAGTAAAAATTATCCATGGGTTTTGTCCACTCAAGATTGATCTTTTTGGTAATAACCTAATCCTAACATCAATTAGATAAGGTTTACTTTTTAATAAAATTAAATATTACATAAAATTATATTTTTTTAATGTTTTTTTATATAATTTATGTGGCTTGTGAAAAATATATATATATATATATATATATATGCGCTAGAAAATGCTTTTGAAAATTAAAGTGTGTGTATTTGCCTTAATAAAAACTTTTTCACCCGACTCACTCAAACATGCCATGTAGTTACTAGACGAGGCAGCAGTAAATTAATCCCATGATAAATCGACCGATCACCACTTTGAGACGTGGGCCCATGACCAGCTGGATAACCAGAAGTTTCGTGAAAACGCAGGACCCACTTAAACAAAAAAAAAAATCTTTGGATCCCAGACCACGACTACTCTCCAGACTCCAGCTAGCTCCTCTTTCCTGCTCGTAATCCCTGTACATGACTACAGTGTGCTCTTCCCCTACAATGAAGGCTTGCACATTTATGTATCCTCGTGCGCTCACGCAATTGGTTGCTGCAGTAAAAAAAAAAAATAAACCCTCCATGCAGCAGCATTTACCCCATTTCATGAGGGACGTCGTGTCCACCTTTCTATATCCATCCACGACGTCTAACCACCCCACCATTCCTAATAACTACCCTAAACCGCTAATCCCCACTCTCTCTCTCACACACACACTCTTACATGCACAGCACATACACAAATTAATGATAATATACTGTATGGTGCTACAATTTATACACATAATAACTCTAGCTTGAATGATTTTCATGTCAGACCATTTCCCGTGTCCCCAAACAGATCAATATTAATTCGTTCCAGCTCTATATATATATATATATAAGAGAGAGTCTTGTGAATCACTGGCTCAATAATATGGATAGCTTGCTTTGTGATGAGGTATGGCTTTCTAGTCCTGAAACTCCCGATTACCACAATCAACCACGGTGGTATAGCCATGAAGAGACCTACGCAGCTGCTTCCTCATTCTACACAACCATAGAAGACTGTGAGAAGACCGTCTCTATATACCTGGAGAAGGAGTTCACTTGCATGCCTGAACCCGGATACGTAGAACATCTTCGGACCAAAAATTTGTTGTTTGCTAGGTTCAGAGCCATTCAGTGGCTCATCAAGGTTTGTTTCTCAACATGTATACGTAGAAACATACTAATCAAATAGACTATTGCTTTTACGTGCAACTCACAATCACCCCTCTCATTATCCTATGCAAATGTATGTTTTCAGTCTCGTCAAAGGCTCAGTCTCTCTTTTGAAACTGTTTTCAACGCTGCCAATTACCTTGACCGATTCATGTCGATGAATCAATGCCATGTAAGGGTTCGATTAGCTCTTAAATATTCATTTATATTTCTGTCTTAAACTGTGGGATTTGATTAGTTATTGTCTTCAGATAACTGATTAAATCTTATGATCCCATTGATGTCCAGGGATGGAAATGTTGGATGGTTGAATTGCTGTGCGTGGCATGCTTATCAGTTGCATCCAAATTTACTGAGACACGTACTCCTTGCTTGCATGATATTCAGGTGATTACTGTTACATTAATTACTGTTGGCCTTTCTTGATTATTATGCTTAAATTACTAGCCACTAGCTATTTATGCATCGATCTATTCTTGTGATTAAATTAAGATGGATGACCTGGATCATTCAATCCAACCAATAACTATCCAGCG